ACCACAAACCTAAAAGCAAGTGATGGCTCCTCTGGGGCCTGGGGAGATAGGAGTATGGGAATCCAATTTTCCACAGTTTGTGAGTTCTCCATACAGCCGCCATCCAATTGCTCTCCAGTTCTCAACGGCCGGCCCAATATGTTCATCCCCATACTCTGCGTCCACTCTGTGATATGATGACATCATGGCTTAACCATCAACTTTTGTACACAAAGGTCAAATGTATATAATTTACAAATGCTACTACCTCGACGAAATAATATTATATACGGGGTTGTCCAAATCAGTATGTATGTTGCTGAGAAACTGACGGTTTTATTAATTTCATATGGTTCTTATGATTTTATGTATCCCAATTCCCACATTAAAACATGTTTTTTCAATGGAAATGAGAGCATATATGCCTATAAATTAACAGGGGAATTGATGTGTTCGTATGTGTTACGCCGTCACTACACTACTGATAAGTAGTACTTTCTCTATCTCAAAATTATTGTTTAGATTGGAGTTTTATCGTTTAGTTTAATTTGTAAAAAAAATGAAAATTCAAACTCGGAACGGAAGGAGTAGAAATTAATTGACCTGGATGAAAAATTGACTGTATGACTTATTCCTTCCTACTTTTTTTTTTTTTTTTGTATTGATGAGACGTGGTATCTGTACTTTTTCACTAAAAAAAAAGAAACTATATATAGGAGGATATTGATTGGTGGTTATCATAGAAGAACCTTGAAGCTTGGTATCTAGATCAGGTAATGGAGTAAACAAACAGAGAAGTAAAATGCAACTAGCCAATGAAAGCAAGTTATGCAAATGGTAAATAGAAAAGATGATCGAATTCCAAATTTACAGTTACTGGAATGGAGTGGAATAAATTGGTTCCTTCCGGAGTGGAAAGTTGCTTTCATTATATGGTTATCATTGCAAAATCCGGAAATTAAATACCACTAAAAAGTAAAAAGATAAATGGTGGACGTCACAGCTGATGAAATACGGCATCATAATTAGTGTGATAACAGAGAACAGAAGTCTTCGAAGTTCGAAAGAGTTTATTGTGACTTTTGGTGGTTTCAGTATTTCTTTAAAAGTTTTCAATGGAACATTATATTGCCGCAAAAAATGCCTGTCCTCAAACGGCGATTAATGTCCGTAACTGCTTGATTTCTGATTTGGAACTTTGTGAGGTCATTGGCGATTCAAAAAACGCCAACTTTGGTATTAGTTGACAGAAGAACACAGAAAGTAGTTCAAATTACTGGACAAACTGCATTTTAGCCAACCCACACATTACTATAGGGTACAGATTTGTGCACGATTTGGCAGCTTTTAGCCTTTTATTAATTTATGGCTTGTACGCCCCCAGTTAACTGTCCATTTGGGGAACTCTGCCATAAAGATTTGACTGTTTCACTATGCCCGTGCTGCGTACTGATCTGACTGACCTTTTCAAATTTTATTTTAAATACAAATTTATACTTTAAACATGAAATTCGAAATGATAATCATTTTAGAATGAAAGAAATATTGCTTTAGTCCCAAAAAAATTCAATCCTTCAAAAAGTAATGTGGTTCAAATTTCTTGGGAATCATGAATCCTTTCGACCAAACATCTCATTCAATTCCAAATCCAAATCTCAAATCCGATTCCCAGTAAACAAACGGCTCGGTTGATGACTCACAATTTACAGGTTTTGCTAAGTTTAAGAGGACCATTAACTTCTTATTTTGTTTTTAATATCTAACACGCATGCACACTTATCTGCTCCAATAGTGTAAAAATCCTTTGTAATGAATTCATGTAATACAATAAATTGGATTATGAAAATGAAACTGAAAAAGTGGTAAACAATTCGCCACAAAACGAAATTTTTAAAGGAAAGAAACCGAGGGGGATAAATTGAACTCGCACGAGAATGTTTGACAATTTGAAAATGTTGGTTGAAGAAATTTCACGAGCACCTTGTGTGGTGATCATAACTTAATTACCCTTTGTAAACATCCTTTGTTAATGCCACATTTTTTCCCAAGGTTTTCATTAATGTGGCAACATAGTTAGTGGCAGTGGCGCTGTAACTATATTGCTTTTTATACGTATAAAACGTAGCTTTTTACCAATGCATGGCACATAAATATCTTCTTTCTTCCTTTTATTTTAGTTTTATGAGAGGATGTTTATCGTGGACAATAGTGATTACTTTCTCTGTCCCAAAATTATTGTACAATTTGAGATTTCACTTTTAGTATAATTTGATCTAGAAATAAAAACCCAAACTGAATAATAATTATATGACGGAGGAAGTACTGTTTTTCTTTGAGTTGTTCTTTTCCGGAAATTATCAAACAGTCACAGAGCCATCAGCCCAAACCCAAATGGACCATCTATGGGAATGAGTTTTGTTACCAATTCTTTCACAAACTACTTTGTCGGGCTTCTCGAAATGATATATTCCTGTCGGGCCTCAAGATAGAGAACAGTCAATAATTAGTGAGAAACTCCGTAGAAGGACTACTTCGTAGAATTTTTGTAATCTTCAAAACTTTTTGGTCATCTCTACCGTGCTTAATCCAATTTTTCCCTCAAAACTTTTTTTTTTGATATATTTTCCTCAAAAATTTAAGACCTCAAAGAAGTAATTGTATGCTGTCACAACTGACAAACTATAAGCACACTTTTATTTTTCCCTTCTTTTTGGGTATCTGTCATGTTTTGATTACAGTTCACAAAACTTCAACTATACACTTCATTTTAGTGAATAAATTAGTGGTATTTTTCGTTACCCCTTGGATATAATTGAATTAGGAATTTTTTTTTAATTGAATACATTAGCTCATTTATACATAAGCTCACATAAAAAGACAATCTTAATTAAATTCTAAAAACCTAATTTTCATATTTCAGTGCACAAATGAAGAATTACCTATACGAAAATGAGACGAAAGAAATATGTATGCACGAATCAGTAGGGATTAGAATTTAGTTGCAAAATTTTATCGCCTAAAAAAAAATCCCCCTTATCTGGCTTGAATCATATGCAGGGACGGACTTATGAAGGGGCTTGGATCCAAAAAAAAATTAAATTTTTTACAATGGCCTAATATATTTTCCAATATTTTATAAAGCACCTCAAATAATTTTTTAATTATTATTAGATATATGTAATACGTTAAGTTGATTCGTTGATAAACTATATAGTTTTTCCGTTTTTTTCCCATCTTCTTTGATGTTATATTTAATTGCATTCAGTTTAATTTAGTTGTTTGTAATATTGAAAAAAAATTTTTTCGAAACATTGAGAATGAGATTATCTTATAGAGATTTCAGAAAATGGCACTCCGACAATTATGTTTATCGCTTATCAATTAGTGTTGCACTTTTTTAGTGGTTTAGTTGAAAAACATACATTTAGGCAATACTCATGTCATATAAGCCTTTTTAAACGTTCATTTTCAATTGGTTGAATTTTTTTTTTCCTTACTACATGGCGGAGCACCTGCAGAACTTAGACCCTGGTTCCGTCGCTGAGGGTATGAGTCTGAAGTCTGAACAATTATTTCGGACCCCCGCAAAAGATAAACAAAAAAAAACGAAACCATTTTGTAAGGAATGAAAGCCGAATTGAGCTGGAATTTTTCTGTTGGATGGGACCTTTTAGGCTGTCAAATTCCCACTGGCTGCAAAGTGCAAGCTACCAAAACCCAAATTACAAGATGATACCTTACAGCCTGTAAATAGTTTTTGGTTGATTTGGGCTTAAAAGGTACTGGCCTTAACTAGGCCAATCCAGTTTAGTAAGTATGAGCAGCTATAATCTACTGTTTCATTTCATTCATTCTAGAATGGGATCGAAATGTTTCCTAACCCCGATCCATTTTTTTTGCTAGAGCGGTACCAAAAAAAGAAAAACAAATTATCTAACTTTCCCGAATGAGATATCTTCTTCCAAGCAAACAAGAAATATACTAGTACATCCCACAAAAATAATCCTCTTTTTATATTGAACAAAATGATCTATTTTTCGATAACGGCTAGAGTACATTGAATACATTCAGGAAGTCAGGATAAAAAAAATATACACATTGTCACTACTAATTTCTCGTTTTCACAAAATGTTATGGCTATCTATATCTTTTTTTTTTATATAGATGCCATTACTCGAACGCACAAAAGAAAAGAGGAAGAACATGAACAGTCATGTAAGTTTCGGCCCAATAGCAATGGGATTTATTAACTTTAGAACTTAAGGTCCAAAATGGCAAGATATACAGCCCACTTATTTGCTGAAAACGAAAAAAAAAAACATTTAAAAACAAAAATGTGGAAAGGAAATTAGATTTGACGTGTTCCTAAATCGTGGCCTTTAGAAACACTTTTCGATTTTCTCGTCTGAACCACTGACTTATAATCATACTTCCGAACTTGGTGTGTCTATTTCGGACGTGATTTTCACAGGGGTCAACTTACATGGGCAGTACTCAATAATGTCCTGCTACTCCCAACTTTACAAAATTTGTAAATTACTAATTTTATTGTAACATTTTCCTACGATCCATAATAATCTTTTACTGTTTTAAGAGGCATTATGATACTCCTGTTCTAGTATTATGGTATATATATATCTTCTTTTTTGAGACGTATTAAAAAATTTATTTAAGAAGTTGAAGTTATTTGGAAGTTTCTTTACTTATTATGTCTCTTAATGAAATGTAAATGTAAATATACAATAATAATAATAATAAAAAGTAAAAAAAAATAAATAAAAGAGACACTAGAGATCTTTTCCATTTTTATTTTTAATGGGGGGTAGTCATGATAGTCTCAATAATCTAAACCACAAAGCAAAAAGCGCGCCGTTTGTTGTAAGATTTGTTTAAGGACGCGTTAAAGGCGACCCTTTGGATTCTAACCATAGTTAACAGCTAACCCGTGGTTAGCTTAACCCGACCACCCCACCCCACCCCACCTATAAATTTCCACCACCGACCCATTCGCGCAGACTCCTCCATTTATTCCCCATTCAAAACTGCCACCCATAATTCTAGTCTCTATTCAGAAAGGGAAAATCTTTCCAATGGCGATGTATCCGGAAGAGGAAGAAGCTTGGAAATGCCCAAAACACCCTTCCAAGCGTCGCCGGAACGGAATCTGTCCGACCTGCCTCCGTGACCGTCTCATCACCCTCTGCCCGGAGTGCGCTAACGTCCGCCCCTGTTCCTGTTGCACCGCCTCTTCGTCTTCCTGTTCCTCCTCGTCGTCCTCCTCTTCGTTTTCCTTCTTCTCATCCGCGTCCTCCTCCCGACGCGTCGGCGGCGGCCGTGTGTCGGAGCTGATTGAGAAGGAGCCGGCGTTCCGGAGATCGAGATCCGTCGGGATTCCGTTCTTGTTCACTCGATTCGCGCGTGAGAAAGAGGCGGAGGATTCGAATTCGAACGCGCGCGTGCGTGAGAAGAGCCGTGCGGCGTCGTTTTTGTCGAGGATTATGCCGAGCAAAAGCAGGAAAAATCAATCGGTTGCGGAACAGGGGCGGGTCGAACAGGAGGACCCGAAAATCGGTAATAATGTTGGAGAAGAGTGTAGGTATAGATGCAGCAATGCTAGTATCGAGGAATTTGCGAGCATGATGATGAGGTCGAGGTCGGTGTCCGTCGTATCGTCGTCGGCGAAGGAGAAACGGTGGAGTTTTTCAAGTCCGATGAAAGCTTTCCGGCAGCAATCGAAAACTCCGAAATTGGCTAATGATCGGTCTCCGATGTGCCGGGGTTGAGTTGAGTATTGTTTATAACTTTTGTCTTATGTATATAGAACATCTTTCAATACATTTTACATAACTCTTTTTTCTTGGAGGATTATTAAAGGCTGACAGTTTTTGAGTTTTCTTTTTAAAGTATGAATTCCTCATTTTGTATAATGGTTAGGGATTATTATTAGCTACAGATTGGTTTTAATTGGGAACTTATTGGTTATGGTTGGAAAGATCAAATTGTTGATTATTGCAATTATGAACTTCTTAAGCTACCAAAAATTTGTATTGGAATTCTGTCCCCAATTTAGCGATTCCCCCCTTTTTTTTTTTTTTGGTGAAATGGTAGTACTTTGATTGTGGAGATAGATTCATGGACTAGTCTGGATTCATTTTTTGGATTAAAATGATTTTGGGGGACAAATACAATAGCTATAGTATGTAATCGACGTTTTATTCAATTGATTTGATAGGATCCATTATTGATTTTGCTTATAAGAAAGAAGATTCTTGTTTTACGAAAAGATAATGGGCGTATGTAAAATAGTTTATCCATCTCATTTGTGCCTTGAAATGACAGGGCATACTACTACTCCCGTAATCATAACACCCCAAGTTTAGAACTCTTTTTTAGCTTTGGAAATACTACATTAAACTTTTTTTTTAAAAAAAAAAACTCTTGGCGGGGTATGGAAACCTCGATAATTCCATCCAACGATTGGACGACACAATTTCATGTTACGATCGTAATTTCATTCTAAGACAGAAGAAGTATAACTTTTTTTTTTGAATAAATTATTTTGGGAGCAAGAGAGTTGAAGGAGTTGGGCAATTTACTTAGATGCCGTTATATGCCTTATCTGTCAAATGGAATCAATCAACCAGATATCGTGGTAGATCTTTTACACTCGTCGTCATCTAACTGAATTTGTAGGGTCCTATTCCAACTAATGAAACATTGATTCGAAGGGAGATTTATATCTATATCCCTGCACCAATGAGTGAAATGTTAATCAGTGTGTTGGTGATTTATAACGAATGGGGTTATTGATATTGAAATTTGGACAATAATTAAGGTGGTTAGGAAGGTATCATGATGATATATATATACATGGCTGGTAACGATTGAAATGAATGGTCGTTGGGGGATAATTCATTAGATTTGTTCTTCCTATATATATTGGTATGGGTTAGATATTCTGATTTAAAAACAAAAAATGAAAGAGGAAAAATGCATCATACGTTTATGTTCTGAAACATTTATACTAAATCAAAAATCAAAACAAGACAAGCATACATAAATCAGACTTTTGTTTGACAATTCATTCAACTTTTTACGTCTTATTGTAATTATAAAACTAATGTTTCAGTCATGTTTAAGCACATGCAAGAAGTTGTTCCCTTTGAGGTTAAATGCATGTAGAAGAATCTCTTCAAGACATTTGACTTATTTATTCAAAAAAAAAGAAAAAAAAGAAATGAGGAAAGTGATTCTTGGCTTCTCCTCTTTAGAAAAAATCAAAAATAAAAAATTGAAGTAATATTCTTGGATTTGATACAATGTTATCCTCGATCAAGTAGCGTTTTCTGAAGTTTACCAGATTGGGACCATTGTTTCGGTTTTTCCGTTGAGCTAAAGTACAAATGAGCGCATTTTTTTGTCGAATTTTGTAGCCCCATTTAATTTCAACATCAATTGTTCATAAACACCATATATCTACCACAAAATTAATACGTGATGGTATGTGTAATATTTAAAATCTCGCTTTTTTAAACTCATATTCACAATAATCTTCATATCACAATTTTCATTGCTGACCAAACTTTGATACATGCATGTTCTGAAATAAATGTTTTAACCAATCTGAATTCTGACCAAGTAGTAGGTTATTATTCAAAAATAATAAAGGAAAACAATCTTTAATCTTATTTCAGTTTTGTATATATATAAGGAAACCAAAAACCAAAACCAAACCTCCTTACAACAATAATTTCTTCCAAATTGCATAAAGTTCACTGTCCACAATAATAATTTAATTTTTTTTTTGACCGATTGTAAGTAATTCTGTATGAATGAAACAATAACTAACTGGCCACATGAGTTAATTTGAATACCTAACTTGAGTTGAAGACTGCGAGTTTTTTCGACTCATAAAATACTTAGTTGGATCACTCCTAACTAGATGGCATAGTTCGGAGCTTTATTAGACACCATATAGGTTTTACTCTTCATATACATACATATATATATATATATATATAATCGTTTTAAGAAAAATAAAATGAAGACAAATCCATTTAGCACACACCTTAATACTAGTAGTAGGTCAATACAAATTGTAGGTGCGCGACTAGGTCCGAACGATCTTGCTAACTTTTTTTTGGCTTCTTCAAACACTCTCGGTTTACTATTTATATGCTTCCGCTACGTTGAAGTTAATTAAAAAGGTCAACCCACTCCACCTAATTTAATTCTTCAAATGCAATAGGTTTTCTTATAAGATTATCGGTCGGAACAATGATTTTGTTAACATTAAAACAAAAGTGAAATCGACAACCCAAACAGCCTTATCCAGAAACAGTCTAAAGGGAATTTAATCAAATTACTAAAAAATTAATCTAAAGAATGATTTTGTTGGTAACATCCTTAAATTGTCCTGTCATTCATACTGAAAAAAGAGTTTGAAGGCATTGACTTGGAGTTGAGGCGTTTTGAAGTTTCCAGTTCTCAACTGAACATATTGACAATATGAGGAAGCCAACAATATCTGACTTTGTAACAGGTTTCTAGCTATCGCTGTAGTTATAATGCAGTGTGAAAAATTTTAAAAGCACTTGATTCGAGATCTAGAAGCTTATTAGAAATTTTCCATAGCAAACAAGGATTGTTTCATTTGTTGATAATTATTTTAGGAGGAAAAAAATATTAGATATTGACAACAAGGTAGAGTGGTTAAGACAGACGTGCTTAGCCTGCAGCTAGAGAAATAAAATAATTATCGAATAATCCCCATTTCAACTTTGACGGTTAGTGGTCATGACTTGAAAATGTATTTTGAAGTCTAGTAATTGTTTGTCATATTCTTCAACTAATGAAGTCATCTTGTTTTTAAATTTCGCTGAAAGCTAACCTGGCAGGCCATTCATTTTTTCCTTCACCATAATTCTAATACTGTGTACAATTGAAGTTAATGAGAAACTGTTGTATCGTGGACTGTGTTCACTGTATCATGTTAATGATGCAGCCACGCTTCACTAATAAGGTTCACCAACTAAACGACAAACTGCTTGGTCGCATTTCGTTTTGATTTAATTTTTGTTTCAAATTATTAACCCATCATTGTTAAGAAACAACATATTACTTGAATGATTCATGACATTCTGCGGTGGACTGATTCATCATCTCATTGTCATTTAAAGGCGACGGAAGTAGTATCTAACTAAGCAAGATAGTGTAAATGTAAATTTAAGTTAATTACCTTCAACATTTTGCTGGTTACTCGTCAATTTCTCTCAAATAAAATAAGTTCACTACAAAAAAATCAGAAACCTAAATTATATTCCATTTGTATTGCTTTTAGTATAAATATTAAGCCCGCAAAGTGAACTGTTTATTTGTTTGGGACACAGGAATAAAATTAGCAGGGGATCAACATTCATTCGTTCAAGATAATTATATGTTTATGAGATGCTTTATTATGTGAATGCACCGAACAAATATTTCAACCTCATCATCACATGCTGGAACAGCAGTCAGAGGCTGCTAGGAAAAATTTGCCCAGCATAACAACATTAACAACAACAATAAACTACTACACTAATTTAATCATTATTAACAGTGTAGAAAGGGGGTTTTACTTTTACTTGCATGTCGGAACTGGATATTTTTGTCCGCATGTTCTTTCTTAATGAAAAGGTGTTTCTCAGAAATGTTTGATTCTTTTTTAAGTTTTTGTTTAATCTTTTTGGGATAGTGTGTGACTTAACGAACATTCTTCTTCCGTTGTCGTGAAATGGAAGACATAATCTCGAAACCGCTGAAAATGCATGTGCACGAAACCTTTTTAATACACTAGTTTTGTTCTAAAATGTTCATTAAAAAGAATTACTCTCTCCAATCTTAATTACAAGACACAAATTTAAATTAAATTTAATTAAAAGTAATTCATATTTTAAAATTATTAGAACCAACGAAAGTGTAACTATGTAACAAATATAAACAAACCTAATACTCTCTGTGTCCCAAAATTATTGTCCAGTTTGAAATTTCACTTTTAGTACAATTTAAACTAAAAATAAAAACTCAAAGTGGACAATAATTATGGGACGGAAAGAGTATATCGTATTCTATTTATTTTAACAGAAGTTTACAGAAACTACTACAATTTCTATCGCTAGCTAATTAACATTGGCAAACCATTTTTAAGCCAAAAGCACGAAAGCTACACCATTATACTTTAGGGATAAGTGAGTCCTACAATATAACATTAAGAACCAGGACATTATGAGGACATTAATAGACTATTAAAACAAATTAAGATGATTTTTACATTGGATTATCTCTTCATTTAAACACCTCCGGAAAAGCCATGTAATGTGATCTGCAGCCAAGAAATTATTAATCTTCCTTTAAATATGATTCAAATAATCCACAGTCTAACTTCTTTACTCAAATACAATTGAAAAGTGGAGATCATAAATAACATGATCTCCACACCATAAAAGTGGAGATCGATTTCAGTTTCCATGCGCAACCATACTAATTGTTTACATCGTGAAGATTATTTTACTCTCTCTCTCTCCAAAATCATTATTCATATTGAATTTTTACGTTAATACAATTGAAAATTTTGAACTAAACAATAATTTCAGAACACGAAAAATAAACAGATGGAGTATGCCTTAACTAAGTATAACAGTTACTCTCTCTGTCCCACAAAAATAGTCCACATTAAATTTTAAATTTTGTACTGTTTTTAACATAAACTTGAAAACTGAATATGGACTATTTTTTTTAGGACGGAGGTAGTACTTCCGAGAGTGTATGACATCACGTCAATTTCAGGTCGTTCTCTAACAATGAGCTTTGCATGTGCCGCGCTAGACAACGTAAATGAAATATTGCATTCCCAACCCAAACAAACAAAAAAGAGAAAAAAGAAAAGAAAAGAGCTAGAGGAATGTACATATGTGTTATAATTTGGGAAATTTGGAAATATATACTCCCTCCGTCCCATAATTATTGTCCAATTTTACTAAAATGAAAGATTTTATTTTTGGTCAAACTTAATTATATTTTTCCTTAAACAACCGGATATACCCCTACATAAGTAATTGTTTAACCATTAAGATTTTATGGATAATGTTTTTTACTAAGGACAAATGTGTAACTTGATCCATAAAAAGTCAAATTGGACAATAATTTTGGGACAAAATTTTTTTGTCAAAGTGGACAATAATTATGGGACGGAGGGAGTACTTAAAAGAATTAGATCAAAGATAATAAATCCAAAAAAAAAA